GCCGCAACCAAGGACAGAGCTCGCTCCCGGCGGTTTCCCGACAGCCGTGCCGTGCAGCACAACGAAGATGGCAACACAACAAGACTGTTGACACTTAACACTTTCAAATTTGTCTCCAAGGTCCAAGATGTTAGAAGTGTGAACATGATTCAGCATTATTTCATCCCCCATAAGAAAACAATGGAACCATTCCTTGGCTGGGTGTTGCTTATTGCCTTGGGCGAATTTGTTAGTGGCTTCACTGGCAGGTTTTTGTTTGTGAATGGAAGGCTTTCACTGTGAAACTTTCACTATTCTCAACTGACCCATGACTATGATTGGTGTTACACAATGCCGTTGCTCAGGGAAGCTGCTCTTGAGATAGCTTTATTGTAATCTGTAACGGTAGGAAAATAAAGCCGCATATGATTGCCGCATATGCCAATTTTGGATTTGGAGATTATGTTCATCCACTTCTTTATTGCCTCCTTGGAATGTTCCTTTACATCCACTGAATTCATCCGCCCTCCTGTTGTTGGTTGTATCACTCCACCCCTGGTACTGGCACGGTTCCATAGCCAGGAGTGCAACCCACGAAGTTACCGCAATGATCCAACGCCCTTCCGTCGGCTACACGAAGTACACCAAGTGCCAGGCTTGCCGCAGGAGGCGGTGCATTACCCCACATCTCCATGGGCCCAGCCAGCTGGCTCAAACTGCCGAGTCTCGGGTGATGGGTACGAAACAGTTGAGACATGTTGAGACATGTTGAGACATGTTTGGTACATCTATACACTTCCCCAAACAGGTTTTACCTGTGATGGGTTCTTACTTCATCTTACTTCTGGCCCTGGCGGTGTCGGGTTGCTTGGTTCCTCTGTTTTCCTGTTTCATGGCTCCGGTTGTCTCGCGTTGTCTCTGCCTGCTGCGTTGGCTGCCTTTGGTTGCATCTGGCTGTCCGGGGTGGCTATGGTTGCTTGGATTGCTTTTTTTTCCGGCTGCCTCTGGCCGTGCCGGGTTTTGTGGCCTGCATTGCTGCATGTGTAGGTATGTTGTTTTTGCTTTCGTCTCGGGCTGTGCATGGTTCCTGGGTTCATGTTCTCAAACTTGCTGGGTTCACCTATGAAGCGCATGAAGGGTTCTGGTGCATAAGGAATGGTGGTATGGACGGGTCTCCGGTTGCGCTTCTTTCTATTCAGCTCTGCTGGTTTGCTGGGCCGCAAGGCTTGCGGCATCTTTTTATGTGTTTGGTTCTCCATGTTCTATTCAACTCTTTCGGGTTGCGGGGGCGGTTTCTTTTTCCTGCTTGGGGGGTCTGCGCTGGAAGCAAAATGGGACATGCCATTGAATGGCGGGGGGCGACGTTTTGAGACGTACCGAATTTTTGCACACGAGCTGCTGATTCACCAGGAACGGTGCGTGATTCAAATTTCGCAGACATTTTGGTGCCGCGGATTCAGGCCATTTGTCATATGAAAAACCCTGAGAGGCTATGATTTTGGTTGGCGCCCGCAATCGAGCCAGCTCGCCAAGTCACGCGGGGATGGCTTCCCTTTGTAAACTAGGTTCTAGGATGTCCTAGGTTCCATCCATGGGGATGGTTGTAGTCATGCATTCTGAATATTCTGATGTGTATTGTTTTGCTTAATGTTGTTTGCAAAGCTCAGATCGCCCAAGATGGCCGCTGTCACCAAGGTATAAGGAATCGGTTGGCCCGGTCGTGAAAGATGGTGAGAAAGACACTGACATCGATATCGACGGCCTGGCGGCTGAATCGGCCTACAACTTGACCGAGGGCCTGTTACGACTGAAGACTCGCTTTGCCTTCGGCAATCGTTGGACCATGGAGGGTTGGCACTACATGAAGGACGGCAGCTCCTGGTTTTCAGATAGTTGAACCTTAGGAGCGGGATAGGCAATAACATCATTGGTGCAAATTTGTCCTGTCCCCTTTGTTTGAGAAGCCCTTGGCAGGCGTTTCCTTGATACGTTTCCACATGCCAAACCAGGCATTTGCCCTAATTTGCCCAGCGTTGTCCTTTCGGCGGCAAATCTGCATGATGGGGTGGAGGCACAAGGCACAAGGATTCCATTGAAAGACGCGGGTGCCAAATTGGTTTCTTCCCTTTCCTCCTGATTTTCCTCTCCCTTTTCCTTGTGCCCTGCCATGCCCTGCCCGTCCCCGAAGCGCCTTGCATCGTTGCAGGAGCACCACACTGGTTGCGTATGGGACACCCGGCGCAATGAGAGTGCTCCAGGCCTCCGGCTGTGCTTCACAGGAAACGGCCTTCTTGCCATCGATGCTAGGTCCTGCGAGGTGTTGTCGCATGTTGTCGCGTTTGTTTGATGATTTTGCTTGATGGCGCTTTCTTCGGTTTGCTAGATGCGGCTAGATGGTTTCGAACCCATGTGTTTAATGAATGGTTTCTTAGTGGTTTTCCGCGTCGTGTGTAACATTTTCCTGAATGGTTTTGTTCCCCAAACAGTGTGTCCACCCTGAGGGGTTCTTACGGTAGGTAGAAAGGCCGGTGCTTGATCAGGGTGCTCACTCTAGACCGCGGCATTTTTCCTGTAAATTTCTGTCTACACTGGCTCTTGTGAAATCTTGACATGCGTTTCGACTGCACAAGCTCGCACGACATGTATGTCTGCGTTCTGGGCTGTCCGCGTTCTGGGCTCATTCTGGGACACGCGTAGGCTCGCACAAAGTGTTTCTCTGCGTTCTATTTCTTGTCTTCTTTTGTCGCGTCTTCTCTTCTCCTGTTGCCAGAGCCATCTACGCGAATCTACGCCATATGCTGTTTCGGTGTCTTTGGAGCAATTGTCTCACACATGAACCAACTCACAGAATAGGATATACCTGCACAAAGTTGTTTGGAACGTGGCGCTGAACAAGCAAACACATTTGTAGCTTGCAGCATAGGAAGAGACGCCCTTTTCATGATCCAAAATACATACGCCAGAAATTGTTTTTCTCCAAGCGCCGCCGCCGCCACCACCACCACCATCATCACCTTCATCTTCATCGTCATCATCATCGTCATCTTCATCATCATCATCATCATCATCACTACGTCGGCATTTAGGATATTTTTTATTATTTTTTGTTTCTGGCAGGTTTCCACCACATCACATACCTGATTCTGAGGTGTGTATACAATATATCTGAAGATACCTGAAATCAGCAGATTCTGAAGTGTGTATCCAATATACCTGAAGCTGTCCTCCATCTTTATCGCTCGCTGTCCCCGCTGTCCCCGCTGCCAAAAGCTCTCCATCTTCATCGCTCTTATCATCTTGACCCTTGGTCGCGGCCTCAAGACCTTTGGGTGCTGGATTTGGCTTCCAGTGTGCAGTCAAGGGTAACGGTTAGACATTTGAAGGTGAGTTACGTAACATTGATTAGTTAATTATTCATTAATTATAAATAAAGTGCTGGTTGGTTTGCTATGCTTTCTGTTCATTTTATTGCCCCGAAGCTGTCCAAGCTGTCCAAGCCATCGACAACCTTGCTGAGGCCATTTCTTTTGCCCCTCCATTTGCTGCCTTGCAGTCGCGAAGGCTTGCATGGGCTGGTGGGTGTCTTACCCCGAGCGATTGGTCCCTCGTTCAAAGTTTAAACATTGATTATATTATCGTCGTTGTTGATTTGCTTTGAGTTGCATAATAATGGATGATTTTATGAGAAATGTGTTTGCCGAGCAAAAGGTTTTTAAAAGAGTTAGTCATTGTCATGATTGGGGATTTCATTCATGTCATGCGGCATTCATCAACATGCCAAGCCGTTCCCGCAGCTGTTCAAGCTGCTCCAGCTGTCCAAGCGCTGTCGCATGGCCAACGTTGCTGCTGCAATTGCTGAGGCAGTGGAAGCAATGGAGGCAGCAGATGCAGCGGTGATTCAAGGCGACGCGCCTTTGATTGAGGATGGCGAGGACGAAGAGCCTGCAGAGCCTGCTCGGGATGACGGCGGTGATCAAATCGATCCAGCTGGAGGCGCTGGAGATGATCAAGCCGTTCAAGCTGCCCCAGCCGTCCCAGCCGTCCCAGCTGCCCCAGCCGTCCAAGCTGAAAGCGCGCTGGTGCCTGCTGGCGAGAATCCCGTGGCCCGATCTATGCGGCAAGAGATCGCGGAAGGGGTCATGGCTGCAGTGGGCAGCACGCCTTTTCACCTGCGCATGGATGATGCCATGTTGCTCGAGCAGGAAGAGGTGCAGCGGCACGCAATCGCGTTGCCGCAGGCCCCGAGCATCTTCTGGATACCCAGCGTGACTTCACCTGGTCTCTTTTCGGCTTCAACACTTTGCTGAACAGCTTCTACAAGAACGGGGTCAAGAACAGTGAGACCATCCAAGCCATCTGCGCAGGTACTGGGGTGTCTAAAATGTAAGTTTTTTTCTTGCCAAAATAAAAGTGTTGGACAGGGTGAAGTTTGCAATTTGCGATTTTATTTTCCAAAGCGTTCTGCCCGCTTTGCTTCAGGCTTTACGCTGCCAGCCACCGAGCGGCACATCGTGGAAACTGCCCGGGATTTGCTCGCAAAGATCCCAGCCGGGGGAGGCGTCCCCCAGAGGTTCATGGTCGTGACTTTGATCAGCATTCATTCCGAATGGTTTTGAATTTAGTGATGATGTGTCATGCTGGCTTGAGTCATGCCTTATCGTGTTTCGATAGAGCTTAGAGGGCTTAAACGTGAAACTGCCATTGTTTCTTTTCCAAGCTCCCTTTGGCTGAGTTGTCGACCATCGTCCGAGAGCACCTGAAGCAGTTCGCCGAAGTGCAGGAGCATAACGGCGAAATTGTCTGCAATGTGCTGCTTTTCCCATATGTGATGAATGGGGCAGCCCGAGGCTATAAATTGGCAGTGCCAGCCAAGGACTGAGAAAGTCTAAAGACATGGAAGTGCGAGCTGTCCTAAGCTGTCCTAGCTGTTATGGAAGTTCTTGGTCACGTAACGTAGTCACATGTTTTAACTAAAATATAGTTTGTTCGAACGTTTCTTAATTTTCCAAATCCTGCAGGACATGACATGGTCCGGGTGGGCGCTTCCGTGGGGCACTGACGGCTTGCTGATGCCGGTTGGCCTCTGCGACGTCCTCGAGATGGCGCGCCAATTTGTGCAGTTGGCTGGCTTGGGGCCACGGCACGATGGTCCCAGAAGCTTGGATGCCTTTCTTTCAGACCAGAACCAGGTGGTCATGGCTGTCGAGGACAGGAACAGGGCTTGCATCCAAGCATCCTTCTTCAGCAATGCGTTCCATGGCAAGCTGGAAGAGCATGCCTCAGCAGGCGTGCGGTATGCCTTGAAGACTTGGATCTTGCCAGGTATAAAAACCAGATCCACTACAAGCTGATGGAGAAGTTGGATGTGGGCTTCGGACAATTTTTCGATTTTGGAGAAGAAGCTGGCTATGGACCCACTTCCTATTTCGTCTCGGCGGAGGGATTCTTTTACGTCCTCACCTATCGAGCTGCTGACGTGGCCCAGCGGAAGTTCGAAGGCACCCCGCGATGGATTCTGCAGGCTGGATGAAGTTTAAGTTAGCAGTAGCACAAATTAGGTTCACAGAAATTGCACACGCATACGCATACACATTATACGTGATATGTAAGTATGTACGAAAAAGGAGCGTGCATGTAGTTTTTTTGCAAATATTAATTAATTATTATGTTTATGTTTAACTAATTATTGTCATTATTAATATTGTTGTTATTATTGTTCAAACTTATGCCATGTGTGTAACCCCCTAACTTAGTTCTTGGCAATCTGTTTCCGGGTTTCAAACATCGCTACTTGCCTGCAAGGGCGAGTGCTTCAAGGGCGACTTCGACGACGACAAGTGGCTACCGAGCTGGATCACGAGCAGCCTGCACCATCCAGTGGGTTGGGGAGGGCCCCGATGACTTCAACCTTCTGTGGGATGGCATGCAAGTTGTAGCTTGGATTTGACTTCAGCAAAATTTTCACATGCCCATGATGTGCGTTTCATGAGCGCATGCTTTCCCTGTGACTTTGAAGGCCCTTGTGTGGTTTTTGGTTTTGAAAAATAACGAAAACTTGTTTCAGGAAAGGGCACTTGTGGCCACAAAGACGACAACGTCCATGGTGCTTGCACTTCGGTTGTCCCGCTGGGAAGATTCAAAAGGACGGCCCTGGAGTGTCACATTGGCCAGATGCTCTTCGGTCCCTGATGGTGTGAAGATGGCGATGGCACAGTCGAACGTCCATGCGGACAAATACCGTCGCCAGACCTACAGGAACACCAATGACATGGAGCTTGCCCAATACGCCCATCGCACACGGCAAGTTTTCACTTCCCGCCCACAGTCGCGCTATGGGCAGGAGTCGCAGCAGGAGCCTCAGCAGCAGCAGCCACCGCCGAGCGCTGCAACAGGCTTTCCACCAGGAATGACAGCCATGGATGATGGGTGGGGCGGAACCATGTTTGTGCCGACGGCTCCAGTTCGCCCTGCCATGTCTGCTTTTCAGCCGTTGTGGGATCAGCAGACTTGGCAGCAGCAGCCGTCCCAGCCGTCACAGCCGTGCAGCCGTCCCAGTCGTCGCAGCAGGGACAGGGCCAGCATGGACAGGGCCGGCGCAACCAGGGGCAGAACCAGGGACAGAATCAGGGGCAGAATCAGGGCTGGTGGAACTGAGAAGCGTGTCTGAGAGGGGCCGCGATTTTTTTCAAAGTGCAGTGCGGCAACAGCCGCTTTAATTCATTGGATCAGAGCCAGCACGTCGCTGGTGCTATTGGCCGCAGCTGTCCAGCCTTTAGCCGTCCAAGCTATCTTTGCTTGGCTTCTTCCAACTGAGCATGGTTCAAAGCCTTTCGCCGATGTTTAATCCCGACTAATTTAATATGGCAACTAATCTAGTAGTAGTCGAATCACCACAATGTTGGCTAGTAACATCACTAACAGGGGTTAGGAACAATGCTCAACTGTGCACACTATCACGTCGATGGTGGCATTGCAGTGGCAGAAAACTTTTTTTCAAGCGCGATGATTTTCTCGCTTTGGCTTCAATCTTTTTTCGCAATTTAGTCCGTTCATACATTTCATCGCATTCAGTTAGCCCTTGGCCAGGCCGGGCCCTTGCCTACGTTCTTTTTCTGGAGAAGCAGGTGCCTGGGAGGTTCCTGATGCCAAGTTCACAGACAAACACGTTCAATGAACATTGCCGTCTTTTTCAGGAAAGTTTGATAATGAGATTGAAAATTCAAAACGCTGGACTCAATTATTATAAATAAAATTACGACGTTCACAGTGGCCAGCTACCAAGGGTTGACTGATGGCAGGTACTCTGGGCCTACTTTGCTGCTGTTGCTGCCTGTGGGTGGCTTCAAAAACACTCGATAGCCTTTCGATGCCCCTTAGCAATACACTCCAGGATATCAAAAACAGCCGGTGTATTAGCAAGTGCTTTGTCCATTGATTTGTACTTTTACTGAGAGTGTGTAATTGTTGATGGATTGCCATACTTTGTTATGCCCCCAGGATCGCAAGATCCAAGGGCGTAATGGCATGTGCCAAGCCTGCTTCATTACACTATGTAGCTCATATCCTTGGCTCGCAAGAGCCGGCTTGGGAGAAGGTTTAGATGTGCATTCAAGGGTTGTTTTCAAACATTCAAAGGTCAATGTAGCATGAGTATGCATTCAAAGGTGTTCAAGTGCATTCAAGGGTCTACCAATGCATCCAAGGGTCATTTCATCTTTGTGCATCCAAAGGTAAACTCACCCTGATTCACGTTGGCTCCCTTGCCAGGTGCTTCTCCATGGCTCCTGTGCCAGAGTCTGCAAGCAAGGCAGTGAAGCTTTGGATGCAGAGTCTGGAAGCTGGCTATGAAACACAGCAGATGAACAGAGTGGATAGGATAGCACACAAAGCCACTCGACAGAACCATGTGCAGTTACTTCAACCAACATGGGCAAAGAAGTTTTTAGACACACGGGTCAGTGATGATAAGCGCGTTCATAGACTTGCATCATGTTGCTTTTCTATCAAGTAGATGTGTGGAAGTGACACTTTGGATGTCATAATGAGGCTGCAAAGCTTTTCTGGAACGAGCAGGAAAAGGATTTGATCCCCATGGTCCAGTTCCTCCTGCGAGATTTGCCTCAGCAGTGTTTGCCTAGCGCGGCTATGAGCAAAATTGGAAGCAGTCATGCGGGAAGATTCCATGCAATATTATCTTTCTACATTACAGTTCTTTTTCCTAAGGCAGGTTGCTAGAGAATACAAAGTGAATAGATGGAGAGAGACAGAGAGACGGACAGACATATCAACAAATACAGAGGGGAATAGCAGACGGATAAACAATTCCAATATGTTTATCCCATAATTGCCTAGATTATGATACAATACAAGAATAGTTCAATGATCCGCCTAGGCTCTGGTGACGGCATACTTGCTGTATCGGGCCAAGTGTGTGGTTCCATCCTTGGCATCAGAGCCTTTGCATGTGACAAGTTGGGGTGATGGAAATGTTTTTCCTTTGAAGCACATTCAATGTGACGTCAGCAAGATATAGCTGCCTGCAACAGCTGTCCCTGCTGTCCCCGCACTGCCAAACTGACAGGATCCTGGCAACATTGTGCTTCGTATCCTGAATGCTCCAAACCCATTCTTGACAATAAATGGCGCGGCGCTCACTTTCAAGCAGACGTGTCAAGGATGTTTTTTGCATCCGGTGTCAAAGGCAGTGGGATTCTTGTCAGGTTTAGACTTTAGGGGGGCCGGCAGAAGCGCTCACAATAGAAGATGGTATGAGCGCATCAGATTGCATTTTATTCGATTTTCCTCTGTTGATTCCATTTCCAACCTGGGCGAAAATTTAGACAGTATGGTGAATAACAGAAAATAGTTGGCTCAAGACTTGACAGCGCTGCTGATATATTATCATGGACCTATGATCCAGAACGTCTTCTTCATGCTTGGCCAAGCAAATTCTTCCATGTTCCCTTCCTTTAAAGAAAAATCAATCTCTTCAACTTCAGGGCCGTTGTCTTTATTTCTATCTTTCTTTCTTTCTTTCGTTCTTTCTTTCTTTCTTTCGTTCTTTCTTTCTTTCTGTCTTTCTTTCTTTCTTTCTTCACACTCTCTCTCTCTCTCTGTCTGTATCTTGCGCTTTCTTTGCGTCTCTCTCTCTCTCTATCTATCTTTTCTTCTTCCTTCATGTTTTTCATGTCTTCCTTTTTTTGACTACATCTTTTTTTTTGGGATCTCTCATCTCTGCCCCTCTCTCTCTCTCTCTCCCTGTCTCCGCGTTCTCCGTGCCCCTTCCTCCTGTCAACCCATCCATCACTGCAGCAGTGCCCCTTTATACTTGGGTCTGCTTATGTCTCCGTTTTTTTTTCTCTATCCGTTTCATCACCCTTGAATGCGCGCATTCAACCCTTCAGCGCAGAAGATCCATGAAGCTGCGCATCCAAAGGTCTTGAGGCTGCGCTGAAGGGTGTGCCAGCTAAGACCATGCTGGGAATTCTTCCATGGACAGCGTTGCTAAGAAAAGGAAAGCACAGGTTGGAAAGCTCTTTAACCCTTTTATTAAGCAATAATACTATGAATTATTTAGAAGGTACATTTGTGAGAGCCTGCCAGTGATGACGACGCAGCTTGAAGACCAGCCGTCCTAGCTGTCTTAGCCGTCACAGTTTTGTTACAATAAGATAGATAAGAAGCAAAGACTTTGTGGTGCCGGGCAAAACACTGCATGCTTGGATATTGCTGGGGGGTTCATGCTTGGATGATTCAATTTTACCTTTGAATGCAGATTCTTGCCATTTCCTTGCATTGAAGGGTAAAAAGTGAGCATCCAAGGGTCTAATGCAATACCTCCATTCCCTACATTGTCACTACCATTTTTGATTGTGCTGAAAATTAAAGGCCCAAGACCTAGCCCGGCTCACTCTCCCCAGCTGTCCTAGCCGTTCTAAGCAAAGACTCGCAGAGCCCAATGGCTGCGGCTGCAGTAGTGCCACGCTTCCGGCTGGAAAAGCGGGAAGTTGGCCAAATCAAAAGAAGCAAAGCGTTCCAGACCGTGCTGCAAAAGGAAGGCAACGTCACGAAGAGTTGCTGTTTCTGAGGGGACAGTGCCCAAAGCTCCAATGCTTTTGCACTTTTTATGAAACAGCACAACACAGCGAAGAAAGGCGCCAGCAAACAAGAATTCCAACATGAAATGCAACGCATTGCCAAAGCTTGGGCAAAATTGACGCAGTCTGAGAAGAACATCTACAAGGAAAAAAGCAGATCGGAGTTCATTGCACAAAGAGACGCCATGAAAAGCCATGGCTTGCCCACGCGGCGCATGCAGAATGAAACCGTGCCAAAGCAGCAGTCACAGCTGTCTCAGCTGTCTCAGCTGTCTCAGCTATCCACACAACCTGTGGAAGAGCAGGACCAGGCGCTCCTCAGATTTGGGAAGATCACGGTGATGCAAGGTGAGCTTCTGTTGGTGAAGGCTCTTACGGGACTGTGCTGAAAGGCCTCATGCCCTATGGCCGCTTCTGCGCTCTGAAGATCTTCAAGGGCAGCAAAGCTATGATCTCCTTGAAGCAAGAGGTTCTGATTTTCAATCAAATCAAAGACAAGCTTCAAGAAGGAATGCGGCAACTCTTTCCTTCCTTGTTAGAAGTCGAATGCAAACCGCAGCCGTTCCCCTACTTGGCTTTGGAGTTTGCTGGGTCAAGCGTGTCCCAAGTGCTCATCCAAAATGGTGCTTTCACTGGAAGTGCAATGCAGCGCCTAGCCACGCAGCTTAGATCTGCCCTGCAAGCTTTGCACAGCATCCGCATACTTCATTTGGATCTCAAACCGGCCAACATTCTGTGGGTCCAGGAGACTTCATGCATGAAACTAGCGGATTTTGGAATGCCTGAGATGATGGGGATTGAAGCTGCCTCGATAAGGTTCGATGGATATGTTAGTGCGCCCTATAGACCACCTGAGCTGTGGAACACATCTTCCGTAGACATTTGCAAGCATCTGCGCCCATGTGTCGACATTTGGTCATTTGGCTGCGTGCTTTTTGAGTGTGCTACAGCATCCCCTCTTATGGCACCTCTTCCTCCAGCTCGCAGCTGCAATCATACTGTGAATGCATGGTGCCGCTCATGGGACAGCTTGCGCCAAGCACGGATGATGACAGAGCCAGCTGCTCGAAGATTGCAGGCTCGTATGTTGAGGTCTGGACCATGGAGAGAACATATTTTAGAATGTTTTAAATCCTGACCCTGCTTCTCGAAGATGGAGCGGGCCAACACATTGAATGGAGCCAGTCGCTGCTATGCCTAGTGTAGTGTTCATGAGCAGGGTTGCTTCCCAACTTGTTTCGAAGCGGGGTGTTCGGATTGGGAAGCCCGGGGTTTACTCATGATGGTTGAACTAGCTTAGCCGTACCAGCCGTGCCAGCTGTGCTAGCGACAGTGCCCGGACAACTTAACGTTCAAAAATACGCAGCTGCTGCAATGCTCATTCATTATCGAAGTCACGCGTTGTGATTAATCCGCCCATGTTTGATTTTCATATGAGCGCATCAGCCTTCTGCTTGCCAAGGTGGGTCTTCAAAGGTAGCAGCTGCAGCGGCGGCAACAAACTCATGCGTGGAAGGGCAAGAACCGAAAAGAGCGTCTTCTACTCGTTGCTGTGGATGGCGGTGGCTAATAGGTTAAATATTGGTAAATTTACTCAATTCCCTTAATATTTTTCGGGACCGTTGAATTGCCAACCTAGATCATCATCATCATCATCATCATCACCATCATCATCACAATCACCATCACCTTTACCACCATCACCATCACCATCACCATCATCATCATCATCATCATCATCTTCATCATCACCTTCATCTTCATCTTCATCGTCATCGTCATCATCATCATCATCACCTTCATCTTCATCTTCATCTTCATCTTCATCTTCATCTTCATCTTCATCGTCATCATCATCATCATCATGATCATCATCATCATCATCGTCATCACCATCATCATTTATCCTTCTCAGCATCATCATTTTCCTCCTTCCCTATATCAGCACCCTCCACCTTTTCATCATCCACTGCATCTTCCGCATTATCATCCTCATCCCCATCCTCATCATCACCATCATCATCATCAACATCATCATCATCATCATCATTGTTAACATCATCGTCATCATGATCGTCATCTTCATCATCATCGTCACAATCACCATCACCCTTACCACCACCACCATCACCATCATCATCATCATCACCATCATCATCATCATCGTCATCGTCATCATCATCATCATCATTGTCGTCATCATCTTCATCATCATCATCATCATTATCATCGTCATCACCATCAGCTCACCATCATGACCATCATGACCATCATGACCATCATGACCATCATGACCATCATGACCATCATCATCATGATCATCATCATCATCACCATCATCATCATCATCATCGACATTATCATATGTTATCCCCCCACTCTCCCACACTGTTTGGGGTCTCTTGTTGCGTATTGTAAGGATTTGAGATAGAGAGAGAGATATATATAAGTATATATATAGTATGTTTTCATTTAGATGATGTGCGACCAGTGTACGTGCAGATAGACAGGTAGAGGGATAGACAGACAGACAGGTAGACAGATAGACAGATAGACAGACAGACGGATAGATAGATAGATAGATAGGTAGATAGATAGGTAGATAGACAGATAGATAGATAGACGGATAGATAGACAGAGATAGAGATAGAGATAGAGATAGAGATAGATAGAGATAGGTAGAGGTAGATAAAGATAGATAGAGATAGATAGAGGTAGATAGAGATAGATAAAGATAGACAGAGAGACATAGAGCCAGATAGAGATAGATAGAGAGAGATACAGATAGAGAGGGGCAGATTAGAGATAGATAGGGTCAGATAGAGATAGATAGAGATAGGTAGGGATAGATAGACAGAGATAGAGATAGATAGAGATAGATAGAGATAGGTAGAGATAGGTAGAGGTAGGTAGATATAGATAGATAGAGATAGATAGAGATACATAGAGATAGATAGAGATAGGTAGAGAGAGATAGGGACAGGTAGAGATAGATAGCGGTAGATAGATAGATAGATAGATGGATGGGTGGATGGATAGATAGATGTTTTAGCATATTACAGTTCATTTCATCTATGTGCATTCAAATATTTAGCATGCATGCACGCACACATGCACATACACATGCATATGGATATGCATATGTACATACACATAGATACACATGGACATCTGCATATACATACACATATGCATGTGCATATCCACACGCATATGAATACGCACACAGATATACGCATGCACATTATACTTTTTACGCACACACACACTTACATTTTCACCGAAGGAAGTTTAGAAGTCAAACTTCCGACAATATGGACAGATGAAAAGCAGAGATGGGAAGAGGCAGAGAGAAGAGAAGAGTAGAAGAGAGAAGAGCAGAAGAGAGAAGATCAGAGAAGAGAAAGTGTCAGAAGAAAGAAGATGCAGGTGCCCGAAAAGGTAGGAAAGTCGCGAAACACTGTGTTTTTTCCAATGATTTGTGGCTCTGGAGGGTCGAAAAGTAGGCTCGCTAAAGCGGCGGGTGCGGAGCCAGCTGGCCAGATGAGAGTTGAAAAATTGCACGCCGTTGTGGTGCGAAGCACATTTCCAAGTCAAAATGTACAAAACACACCAGCTCCGGAGCACTTTTGGAAGTTGAGATGTCGAAAAAGTGCACGCCGTTGTGGCGCGAAGCACATTTCGAAGTCAAAATGTACAAAGCACACCATGTTCGGACCACTTTTGGAAGTTGAGATGACAATTTTTGGAGGTTCAGATGTCGTTTCGCGTGGCAGGAGCGGGGGATTGTGCACCTTGTCAAAAGTGAGCAAAACGTGAGGGTTTTGTGGCATTTTCAACTACAACCACCACCACACCACACCACACTCCAACACACTACACTGCAACTACAGCTACACCTTCACTACATTCCACTACACTACACTACATTCCACTACACTCCACTACACTCCACTACAATACGCTACACTACACTCATTTACGCTCAATTACACTCAATTACATTCAATTATATACACTCAATTACATTCAATTACACTCAATTACGCTCAATTACACTCAATTACGCTCAATTACACTCAATTACACTCAATTACACTCAATTGCACTCAATTACACTCAATTGCACTCAATTACACTCAATTACACTCAATTACAGTCAATTACAGTCAATTACAGTCAATTACAGTCAATTACACTCAATTACGCTCAATTACGCTCAATTACGCTCAATTACACTCAATTGCACTCAATTGCACTCAATTACACGCAATTACGCGCAATTACGCTCAATTACACTCAATTACACTCAATTACACTCCACTCCACTACACTACCCTACCCCTACACTACACTACGCTACGCTACACTACATTACACTACACTAAGTACAACTACAACTACAACTGCAACTGCAACGACAACTCCAACTGTAGCTACAACTACAACTACAACTACAATACTTTACATAACCCGACACTACAACTACAACTACAACTACAACTACAACTACGCTAGACTATTTGCATTACACTAGACTAGACTACACTACACTACACTAATTGCATTACACTACACTACACTACACTACACGACACGACACCGCACCACACCACACCACACCACACCACACTACACTCAATTACACTAGACTACACTACCCTACCCCACATTGCTTTACATTACATTACATTTACATTACATTACATTACATTACATTAACATTACATTACATTACATTACATTACACCACCGCAACTGCAACTGCAACTGCGCTACACTAATTACACTACACCATAACTACAACTCCACTACACTACAACTACAACTACAGCTGCGCTACACCACGCTACATCCAGCAGTTGTGGGTGAGGTGACCGACCAGGTGACCACTGCAACCATTGCAGCCCTCCAATAAACACAGCTCCAACCACCTCGCGGTCCATCAGTGGATTCGCTCTGCCATCCGTGATTCACAACAACCAATCTCTCCGAAAGGTTTCCTATTTTTGAAACTTCCGCCACCGCCTTGTGCGGTACTACTGGTATGCATTTTTATACATATTTATATACATATTAAAAGTACTTATATGTATTCAAAATGCATATTTATATACACATACTTCCGCAGACACAGGTCAATAGAGAGAGAGAGAGATATACATACACATATCACATCCACAAATGTAAGTGTATATGTATATATGTATTTTTACATATATATACATGTACATATACATATGCATATACAATCATATCCATATACATATCGATATACATATACAAATGCAAATACATATGCATATACATACACGTATACATATACACATACATATACAGATACACACGCATTTATATATATATATATTAATATGCGTGTGTTTGTTGGGCAATGCGGTTGTCCCAACCAGTGCATTTTTGAACCCTTTACCTTTAGTTTTGCCGGGACATTTGAACAAATAATGTGTAAGGTATGCCATGCACGCATTCGCCCATCCGATGCTTTCTATCTGGATAGCCTGAAACCCAGGATGTCTTCGCGCCGCACTCGCTTGGGAAAACCTCTTCTGTGATTGTTTCTGACGTGGCAGCGCCCTTGTCCACATGGGTTCACTTGGCCGTGCAACGAAGTGGCCAAGATTTGGAATTCTTCATGGACGGAAAACTTGGTGGCAGGGCAGCTGTTCCGGCAGAGCTAACGGATGAAGTGCTTTCCCAAAGTCGCATCACGTTGGGTGGCTCGGTGGATGGAGACCCACATCGCAAACTCAAGGGCATGGTGAGCAACATGCGCCTTACAAGTGATGCTCTCTACAACAAGTCTAAGCAGTTTGACATTGATCCCAATCTTGACCAGCTGTTGAAGACACGATTTCTCCTCAAGAGCCATTTCATGGATGCAGTTTCAGGGCGGAGGATGAGGAAAAGTGGAAATGTCACCACCAGGTATGATGCGGAGATTCTCATGGATACGTGGAAAGCAGAGGGCCTCATCGACGACGATCACAACTTCACGCCTCCAATGAACATGACGAGGGTAGAAGTGCTGCGTCGTTTGTTTCCTTTCGAAGATCCCATCTTTAAGACGGAATTCTTGGGAGCTTTCTGCGCCAGGGTGGTTCTGCAGATTCTCAAGGAGATCACAACTATCGAGGACCGGTTGATGGATGCAGTTCCACTTTGTGATGAAACGGCCACCAGCCCGCAGTGCTACAAGGCGGTCAGCTATGCCTTCCGACAAGCTGTCAGCATTGGCCGGTATGGGGCGGAGTTACAGCCTCGATGCGTGCAAACCGTGAATGAAGACTTCCGCGGGGACTTCAGGTGGGAAGAAATGCTAGCCCTAGTCCGGGGGCCACCTTGAATTCCCAAAACGAGCAAGGGATAACGAGGGCAAAACTTCCATTCATTTTCATGTCAATACTGATGGGCCAATGTTTCATTGTCTTGTTCAAAGCATATTAAGACATTCTAAATCAGGTGCTTGGATCATGTAACATATTTGAGGTAGGTAGTGCCAGGACTCATGGCTTAGGAATGCTTAGGGCAGGTTTTGGAAGCGCCTCAGGTGCAGCGAGCGGCTTGAAGGTCTTTCCTGGGCTTTGGACGGCTTCGCTTCACAAGTTGCGAAGGCCCGTCGCATTTGCCATGACAATGACTTGAGCAGTCCCCTGTTGGACTTAGGAGCCTGTGTCGGCGAGTCCTTATCAGCCACTGGTTACATGTTTTCGGCCGCTCTTCTCTTGGAATCTGCCTTGGGCTTCGATTGTCCAAATCCAGAATTTGATGAGGAGAGGCCTCTGACCGAGGCGCTCCAACTCACTTGCGCGAGAGATTCGACCGCCATTTTTCGGACCACTTTCTTGGCAGGTTCAAAGTCAGTCAGGGCCGCAGGCCATTGCGGCGGCACAGACACCTTCTGTGGTAGAAGCATCCTTCGCAGTGCTGCTGCCCTCTCTGGGGTGGGAGAAACTGGAGTTTTCTTGCGAGTCTTTTGCCACGGAGCGACCCCTTGCTGCCAAAAGAATCCTGACACCGACGAAATCGAGTGCGAATGTGAACCCAAGGATATCATTGAGAACAAACGAGATGACAAGGATGATCAGCAGCAATGTGCCAGGTTCGGGGGTTCAACGGTGAAGCTCTTGGGCTCTGCTGCCCTGGCTGCAACTGAGGCAGAAGGCCAATGCAAATTCTCCAAGACAGCAGAAAGCACCTGCCAGACCACGGTGCCAGTAGCTAGGCTTGTCTTGCAACAGCATACGGCATACCAAGATAGCGCAAGATGGTTTTGGAGTGTATGCGTGTTTTTCTGAGGGCATCTTTCTAAACATGTGACACGATTCCTCAGAGTTGACGGAATTCATTTCACATCATTCAATTCAATTTCTCACCATGCTAGCAAACAACCCAAATCACCCGGGCAGTGATCCCTTGGTCCCTTTTTTAGATTCTCGACAGCGGCTGCGAAGCCTGGATTCTGACTGGGTTTTTAAAAGTGCACATTTATTACTTGACCCCTAGTACGGAGTATTCGTGTACTTTATATGTTTATGCCTCTGGAAAATGTGTGTCCGAAGTTTCCTTGCTCCAATAACTTTGAGCGAAAAACCAAGGCGGCCATTGCAGGCCTGGGCTTTTTCATTGAGAATGCGGCCAGGGCAAGCAGGGACTGTCCTCCAAGCAAGTTTCCACTCGATCCTGAGGACAGGGATGAACGTGCTTCGTTCGGATGCAAACCCACCGCCTGTTGGCAACGCATTTTCATGGATCATCGTTTAGGTCACGTCCCCAACCATTATGCATTGCTTGGTTTGTTTGCATACTGTAGTGATGAGTTTCATGGGAATGGTAGGGGTTTGTGCTGGCTAGTCGGTTGCTGCGGTAGAGGTTGGCCCGGAGTCTATTGGCGGGGGCGGTGGGCGTTGGCTCTTGCGAAGGGATTGTGCGTGTCAAATGATTTTGCAGGTGCCCGTGCAACCCTTTTCGGGGATCGTGCGTGTTACATGCTCCAATGTCAGGGCTGTTGAGAGTCATCCACCGGCTCATACTCATTTTACTCATTCTTCCTCATTCATATTCATTCAACTTCATCTTCATTCATTCCCGTTCAAACTCACTCATGCTCATTCAAATTCATTCTTACTTCTCACTCATGTTCACTCACACTCACTCTTATTCTCTAAAAATGTTTACCAATGTTTACCATATATATATATCCATTCATATTCATTAATGTTAATTCATCCAGCAGTTGTGGGTGAGGTGACCACTGCAACCATTGCAACCACTCCAGCAAACACAACTCCAACCACTTTTCGGTCAATCAGTGGATTCGCTCTGCCATCCGTGATTCACAACAACCAACGTCTCCTATAGGTTTCCTATTCTGAAACTTCCGCCACCGCCTTGTGCGGTACTACTGGTACTCATTCATCCACTCACTCACTCACTCACTCACTCACTCACTCACTCACTCACTCACCCGCTCGCTCACCCGCTCGCTCACCCGCTCGCTCACCCGCTCGCTCACCCGCTCGCTCACCCGCTCACTCACCCGCTCACTCACCCGCTCACTCATCCGCTCACTCACCCGCTCACTCACCCGCTCACTCGCCCGCTCACTCACTCCCTCGCTCGCTGGCTCGCTCCCTCACTCACACTCTCACTCTCACTCTCACTCTCACTCTCACTCTCACTCTCACTCTCACTCTCACTCTCTCACTCTCTCACTCCCACTCCCACTCTCCACTCTCCACTCTCCACTCTCTCACTTTCACTCTCACTCTCACTCTCACACTCTCACACTCTCACACTCTCACACTCTCACACTCTCACACTCTCACACTCTCACACTCTCACACTCTCACTCTCTCACTCTCTCACTCTCACTCTCTCACTCACTCACTCACCCACCCACTCTCACTCACTCACTCACTCGCTCGCTCACTCACTCACTCACTCACTCACTCACTCACTCACTCACTCACTCACTCCCTCACCCCCTCACTCCCTCACTCCCTCACCCCCTAACTCCCTCACACCCTCACCCTCACCCCCCTCACCCCCTTCACCCAATACCCCCGTAACCCACTGTGATGGATGTTTGTTTAAGGTTACGGGTAACATAGTTGGCCGTCTCACAATGCATTCATGCATGTTGACATGTATACTTAATTCATATCTTTCATGCGCACTCCGCATGGCTCAAGACTAGCAGCAATACCGCGTGTACAAAAAGAGTGTAGTCGCTTTCGCTTGCCACAGGTGTTTACTTAGGTTTCCAGGGCTCCCTTAAAGGGGAAAGCTACCTCAAAGTGGTAGCGGAGCCTGTGCCTTCGCCAAGTCTAGATCTGTGTGCCGAACTGCCGTTCTCTGCATACATTCCGTATATCGGACTTGCGGAGGCAACCTGTAGGTCAAGTTAGAGTAGCTGCCATGGTCTTAATCCATAACATGGATTCAGATGAAGAACAACTCCAGATTGTCTCTTATGAAGAGCCTGAAGCATATGCCGCCACCAGTCATTCCGAAAACCGGATGGGCATCAAAATGACACCAAAGGTTCCACCCCAATTTGATGGCCAATCAAGCTGGTTTGAATATGAAGATTTAATTGATGACTGGTTGGGGATCACAACATTGGATGCAGATAAACACGGACCATCATTAAAGAATGCCCTCATTGGTTCCGCTTCTTTTTATAAGTCGATGCTCGATAATGCCCTACTCCGAGATCCGGATCGTGGCCTCGCTCATTTCAAGGACACATTGAGACCATACTTCGTGAAGGGAGTAAATCATGTGTTCCTTTGGCGATTCCTCCAGATGTTTCGCACATATCGAGGCCAGAGTGAATTCGTGCACTGGATAGGGCGATTTGAGATCGCGCAGAAGCGTTTGTTGGCTTCTTGGTCCGATCTGCTGGACATATCCGATTCCCCGAGGCAGGCACTCAGGCATTTACGGCAGCACTCACAGATGAGCAAAGACTGCACTATAATGGAATAGTAACAGATGAAGATAAGCTAGCTTATCAACAAGAACTGAGAGAACAGACCATAACCAATAGAAGGACCAGACATGCACAGCAGTTTCCATTGTCAGACAATTTGATGTCACTGATTTTCTAGTGCAAGCAGACCTCAACGAGCAACAGCGAGAGCGCTTTGTCTCGTCCATGAACATCCGTCAGATTGCAATGCCTCAATACACCTATCTCCAAGTGAAACAGCTGTTCTTAGAACTTTTTGCCGTTTCTCGCACAGGTGTTGCCGACCCAAACATCACGCACCGCAAGCGGTCCAACTTCTACGTCATCGACGAGGGCGAGACCGAAGAAGGTGAGTACGGATTTTGGGTCTTCGATGAAGAGACGGGTGAAGAAGGTTTCACAGGTCTGTACACGGAGAACGAGTTCTGGGTTCTCAGCGCCAAGGGTTCATACTCTAAGCGCCGCATCTACGGCAGGTCCTTCAAGAAAGGTAGACCAAAAGGTTATGGCAAGAAAGGAGGAAAGAAATCAAGACCCGGCTTCCGCTCGAGGTCAAAAGGCAAAGGTTTTGCAGCATGGGAAGATGACCAGCAAGACACAGCTTTCTGGGGAAAAGGCAAGGGTAAAGGAAAAGGTAAAAAGGGCAAGAAAGGAATGATGAAAGGAAAGGATTCTTTTAAAGGAATGCCTTCATGGAAAGGAAAAGGAAAAGGTGATGCGAAGAACAAGGGAGGAACCAATCCATTTTTGTCACAACCTCCACAAGCTAATGTAGCACAGGCTGCATCATCCAGTGCATCACATGCCCCTGAAAAACAAGAAACAGCCCATGCCGAAGAAAGCTGGAGTTACGACTATGACACATACTGGACAGATGACTGGTCAGGTTATGAATCCTACTATGGATATGACGGAGATTACTCCCAAGGTGATTGGTACAATTGGTCGTATTTTGTTTCCGCTGAGGAACTGACCGACTCCGAGGACAAGCATTCAGACGTCAATTTCGAGGACGGACAGACCGACAAGATCAACCGGTTCTGTTTTTCAGGCATCCGCTTGTTCCGATTGTTCGGACACGAACTTGTAGAGGCCCTCACATTCGTGCTTCTGTTCGTGTCTGTGATGTACCAGTGCTTTTCTGATTTGAACAGGTCCCTATTGAAGAGCATCCGCCAAGTTGAGAAGAGTGTTTCTACCGAAAACGGTGATCTGCATTCGTTTCAGCCGCGCACAAGCCCACTCGATTCCGTCTCAACGGAAGAGTGTGTATTTCTCAATTATGATCATGATGCCCAACAAGCATTGCTTTGTGAATATGTAGATCTAGGTTCTCATCCGACTTATGTCATTCTTGACTCAGGTTGCACTCGAGCCATGGGATCCCGCTTTGCCATTGATCGCCTTGTACAGGCTTGCCAACAACACCCCAAGCGTGATCATATATGGTTTTCCAAACAACCGTGTTCAAGTAAGTTTTCATTTGCCAATGGAGAACAATCTACTGTCAAAGAAAGATTAGTGATTCATTTTCGCAATGATCGTGCACAAACTGGTTGGATCACAACATGCGTTGACATCCTGGACAAAGGTAAGGTTCCTATCCTCTTTTCAGTTGAACAAATGAGGAATCTTCGCATGAACATTGAGCACACTCCTGTAGGTGAGTTCCTGACTTGTCCACTGTTTGGAATGCAGCGCACCGCATTGGCGGTCAGTACATCCAACCATCCAGTCCTTGACATTATGGCTCTTGCTACTTCCAGTTGGAAACCGATGTGCAGCTTTCAGTCCGAAGACATCACATGCCCAGCATGCAATGGTAAACATCGTCCATACACAAACAAGGAAGGTTGTAGTAAGAGATTCAAAGTATCATAGCCAAAATCAGCCCAAGTGCCGAAACCGGCCAAGTCTGATTCCAAGAAAAATGTCAAGAAGGTAATTCAGCCTGAGAGCAAGTTAGATGTACCAGTTCAACCTTTTGATCCTGATGACGAGCCAATGGTGGCCTCGGGACCAAGTTCCGGTTCAAAGGACGGAGTTCCTAGACGTCGGGAACCTCAGATTGAAGAAGAACCCGAGGTCAAACCGGAACCAAAGGTTGAAGTAAAATTTTAAGAGAAGAAGGAACCGTCACCTAAAGGAACATTGTCACTTGCACTTCAGAGAATTCATGATAATCTGATAAGCTTCAATCACCTACTGAACTTCTCAAATTACATTTGAAGCATTATCACATGACAACTGAACAATTCAAGTGAAGAACATCAGCTCTGAAGTTGCCAAAGGAAATTTATGACAAGTTTGACCAGATAACGA